GGCCCAATCTTTCGACAAACTCTGCTTCCTTTCTTTTGAGCTCAACTAACTCATCACAGGCAGCAGCAAAAACCCCTCCTAATTCCTGCGATTTATGATCTGACCTGGCTTCCGGCAAAGACTGTCTAAGTTGTTCGATTTCCAAAAGCATCCTGGTGAACTTCTCAATTAGCATAGAAGTGCCTTGCTCAACATGTACTAATTTTCCACCGATAGAACCATCCAACATTTCTTGTTGATCAACGACTCCCCCAAGGGAAGCCAGCATCCTGTTTGTCACAACTTCAATGTGCGTATCCTTCTCAATCTGAACCTCAGATGACACTTCCACAGACCTCTGAGCAGAATTCAAAAAAATTGCAACCACGTCATTCAAAACCGAAAACTCATTGATCTTGGCATTGAGTTCCTCAATCTCTTGATCCTTCTTAAACACAACTCCATCAAGTTCTCTCACCGCGGCCTCAGTCTGCAACCGTTTCTCCAAAGCCGTTTTAACAAGTCCAGAGCATTCAGTTATCAACTCACTCCACCGGGTATCCGTACCCTTATCATCTTCCCTACTTTCTTTGTCATCAACAAAATTACCGCTTTCGTCAATCAATGGCTGTTGATCAGTAAGAGCATTCAGCTGAAACCGAAGACTAGCAATTTCTCTAGCAAAAGCCTCTCTTTCTTCCTACATTTTAAACAACAACCAACAATCAATACCGAAAACACAAAAATGCCTCGAAAAGCATCAAACTTTTCGATTGAATAAAAGAAATACGGACATCGAATTGGCGCGCCAAACTTTCCTTCTCGCCAACAGTAGTATCCAGCAAAAGCCGCAGGCGATCCAACTCATCCATCGCGTAATCCTCCGAGCAATCCACAAACTCCTCTTTCCCCGAATCCTCCTTCACTTTGCCTTTATCTTCCGCCACCTGGTTATCACCGTCTGCCACCGATTCCGCCACCGGCCACGCCGACCCTAATTCCTGCAATTAAAACCGATAAACAAAGCGTTACTACCAGATCAAACTGAACCGGCACCGTTCAGCAAATTGCAATTCCAGAATTCTCCGATTACCTGATTCACCGGCTCGGCGACGTCGTCTCGAATTGCATTCGAATCCTTGGCCAACCCATTCGCAATTGGACTGCCTCGAATCAGTTGATCTCCCTCCGCCTCAGTTGCCGACTCCTCCAGAACCTGCTTTAAACCAGGTTTCTCAGACATCAGAATGGCACGCATAAACCAATCCCTCGTCCTCCGCCACAAGGCCCGGATCCGAAACCCAACCCAACCGGATTATTTAATCCATGTATCCCTAGAAATCAATCCGAGAGCTCTGAAATTGTCGCCAAAACCATAGAAATTTGTCCTGTGGATTCCGGTAGAGTTGAAAAGGTTGGATTTTGATGAATAAAGACCACCGCGGGCGGTGTCTCTCTGATCCTGCAGACTGCCGAGCTGACTGTAATTTTCCCACGTTACCCCCTACTCTGGCGTCTCCCTCCAATTTTTATTTTTCTTTTAATTTAATTTATTTTGTTTCCGTCATAGTGCAGTCAATGGCTACCGTTACCGTTACTCTACACGTTTGGTAAATGACCAAACTTCTACCATACTACCGAAACTACTACTAGGCTTTCGACTTCAATTTTGTTTTTATTAATTTACGGAAAGATGTCTTCTATCAAGGTTACCAGATTAAGTCATCCGGCCTATTAAAATTTGATATAACAGCTAAAATTATTATAACTCTTAAAGGGGGGCCTCTATTTTTAGCCGTTTGATCAAATTTCAAAAATCCAGATCACTTGATCCGATGACCTTGGTGGAAGAGATCTGGAGAGGATCTCTTTCCCCAATTTATCACAGTCCATAACCTATGTCAGTAACATTCAACATAGTAGCAGATCACGATTTACTGTAGTAGCAAAAGCAATAGTGCTTATACACTCTGATATAGGTTCGATTCTCACCGATCTTCTTATCTTTAACTTTTAACAATTTAACCTACTAACGTTAGCGTTTGTCAAAAAAAGAAAAGTTCAACACAATACATGTATATATTGTTTCGATATTAACAAAAACAACTTATGAATAAAGAGTTACATTATTTCTCTTCGTCGAACTATAAAGCTACTATTACTTTTTTACGCAAGCGAGTTTATTTTCGCTTGTTTGAATGTTACATAATATCAATTCACCCATTTCTTATTCCTCAAAAGTCAAAGTTTTTCTTCGGAGAAAGTGTTGTTTGTTATCCATATGATATCCTTCAATTCGTGTGTCGTTCATTATAGATCTATTTACTATTTAGACCAAAAAAAAAAAAAAAAAAAAGGACGGAGTGCCACGTACAAAACAAATAAAGTTAACTTGATGGTTACATTGGGTGAAGAGACCTGCAATATTCGTAATTGGATTCATGTTTTATGATCATTTTTGTCAAATTTTAAAAGGGATAGAGAATAAATGCAAAAATATACAGAGCACATAGCCTCATTCATTTGCAAATATAGGCAAAGAACATGATCTGTGTCTTTTATTGTGCGATTGTTGGTTTTACTACTCATTTTTCTTCCACTCCCTTGTTTGCTACCCACCTATCGGACCCACTCCCTGGTCGATCCATGCACTTAGAGCATCCCCAGCGTGGGGTTTTGCTCGAGGGACGGGGTCCAAAACAATGGCCCGAGGGCCAGTGGCTTCGCTCCAGCGTGGGGGAGCCCGGTGGATGGGGGAGGCCCGAGGGCCGGGCCCGTGAGGGATTGCCAGCCCTTGAGTCCGAGGTGGGGGTGACGCAATGCTGACGCCAGGGTGGCGTCAGCGCATTATTTAATTTTTTTTGTGTCAGGCGCGTACACCCCACCCGCGCGTGGGGGCGTGTCGCCGACACAAAAAAAATTAAAAAAATAAAGTGTCAGTTACCGTTGGGAAGTCACGTGGCTTCCCACGGTGCGTTAGATCTTAACGGTCACTTAATGTGGACCGTTAGATCTCAACGGTAAAAAAAAAAAAAAAAAGTCAGATTTAATATCCACCGTTCGATCTGAGATCAACAGTGGATATTAAAATGCTTTATAAATTAAAAAATAAATGAAAAAATAGTTTTAAAAATCTGAAAAGTTACCGTTGTGACACGTGGCACAATCTGGAGTGTTGGAATTCAAATTTTTTTATATCCAACGGCAGAGATTAATTAATTGAATAAAAATTTAAAAAAAAATTTTAAAAATTCAAAAAAATATCTGAAAAATCTGAAAAAAATTGTAAAAAAAATTGTTTTTACTTTTCTATAAATACCTTCTCATTATCATCTACCTTACACAACAATTTACTAAACTTGAAGCCTTCTTACTTATTTTCATTATATTTGTTACTTATATATATATGTATATATTTGCTAGTTACTTATTTTCATTATAATTATTTATTTGTTACTTATTTTCATTATTTACTAAACTTGAAGCCTTCTTACTTATTTTCATTATATTTGTTACTTATATATATGTATATATTTGCTAGTTACTTATTTTCATTATAATTATTTATTTGTTACTTATTTTCATTATTTTACTAAACTTGAAGCCTTCTTACTTATTTTCATTATATTTGTTACTTATATATATATGTATATATTTGCTAGTTACTTATTTTCATTATAATTATTTATTTGTTACTTATTTTCATTATTTAATAATACTTCGGATAATGACACGTGGCGCAACGAGAACGATTAAAAATCTTATCCGATATTACAATTAAAATTATTTTGTATTAATTTTATAAATAAAAAAAATACTAATATTTTATTGCCTATTGCCAGGGCTATTGAAGTGTAACGGTGGAGATGCAAATTCTATTGCCAGGGCTACTTACTGTTCATTAAGGGCAATTACTGTTCATTAGGTGGATTGAATAGTGTATTGTCAGGGGGAGGACTCCAACGCTGGAGTTGCTCTTAGAGCAAGTCCATGCCATGCTGATTGATTAGGCAATTAGGCAATCCAATTCCTTGGAAATCCAAAAGAGTCTCTCCATCTCGGTCCAATCAGTCGGGTCATAGGTGGGCCCAAGACCACCGTACCGAGGAGTCGGGCAGGAATAGCCTGCCTCTACGCCTAAGGCCATGTAACGTCAAGGCAGCGAAGATGGGTTTGAGAGGGTGCTGGGCGAGCCGCTCTAAGAGACTGGCGGATTTTGGAGGATTCAATTGCGCAAGCAATTGGCATGGGGTGGGGTTAGGACTGGCTATGTTTTGAAAAAAGACTGTTTCTGCTATGCTGTGACAATAAACTTAATTTTGCTGCTTCATATTTTCAACTTTTTTTCATCCAAAACTGTGAAAATAAACTGTTTTTAAATGTTTACCAAACACTTTTTTGAGCTCACATTTTTTTATACCCACTTTTTATAAAAACACATCAGTACCAAACCAGCACTTACTAACCCCCTTGAGGGCTTAGAGCTGTACTTGATACGTTCTTAGGCTCAACATGAGACGATAATGAATCCTCACCCCTTGACTTATCCAACAACCAATCTCTTCTTAATTACAATTTCTGGAAGCTGAATCGACTAAAATCAAATTTCTTCATAATAGTTTCACTGACTTTGAAAATTGGAAGTTGATCAACGATGGACATAAATGTCTACAAAACATATTTCTTTGACCACCATATTCATTTCTTTTAATTCAAATGGACACCTTAAAATATTGTCATCCGCAGACAGGGTAGGTCGCCTGCCAAAACGGTCTGCATTTGCAACGCCAGCTGAGAGAAGGTGTAAATAATAATATTATGCTAACAAATAAGTCAGGGGATTACATCAACAACCTAATGATGCCTTATGTTTTAAAATGTGTCTAAGTATTTCGGCAAGCAAACAAAAAAGGATAGCGATTTTCACACTCCGTTTTTAACCATCTGCACTCTAATTTGAATACTTAGAGCACTCGCAGGACGAGTGTAGGGAGGCTAGAGAACTAGAGTTGTCGACCGGATTCAACTCATAACATAAATATATTCTCAAGATGCAGACTTTGGCATCAGTAATGCAGCAGTCTTACACTGACTTCTAAATTTTCGATATGCATAACATTTGAAACTTGTTATTTTGTGTAAAAATTCAATAGAAGTTCCTTACCGGATTCTATTTACATTTGACAGGGCGGCTTTTTTTTTATCTGTACACCACTCTCCGCTTCTTAGAACAAATTAGAATACTCGTAATACACCAAGAAGAGGGCGTCTGGGTAATCTTTCGGCAGGCTGTTGATATAGAGGTAGAAACGCAACAAGTCCTCTTGAGAAACTGTTTCGGTGTCAACCACATCATCGTTGCAAGTGAGCACCCATAAGTCTTGAGAATTAACTCTCTTTATATTACCACGACAAAATGGGCAAGACTCCGACTTTCTATTCCTGTAATTAAACCAAAGCATTGCAAGTGCAATGAACAAATCACTGTTTAGAGAAACGAGCAGCAATGGTCGAATCAAAAGGAGCATACAGATAAGGGATATGGTTCAAGGCTTGTACTTACCAATTGCGGTAGCATTTGATGCACATTGCGTGACAGCAATTAGGCAAGACCACTTTGGTGCAAGGCTCGAAACAAATCCCACACTCCTCTTCCCTCTCCACCTCAGCATTAACAAGGCTACCATCTCCCTTAATCATCTTCTTTCCAGAGCTTTCCATGCTAGGAAGCCTAGGATGTCCTTCCTTAGCATCATCCAACTCCCCCAAATCTCCGTGAAGCCGCTGAAGAGACGGTAAGATGACAGCTGCAATTCAGTTTTTGACAAAGCAAACTTGGTTACAAACCTAATTGTGCGAATCACAACCAAACGACATCCAATGATCATAAAGTAGGCAAATTGACATACAATAGAAGTCCCTTATAGAAGCTTTCCTTCCATGAGTTGAAATAATAGGCCTACCGTCTGTGTATACCTGTATCAAATAAAGACCAACACGCCCAAAGTAGGTAGAGCGACAAAAGTTAATTCCTTTTCCGCAACGATTAACAACCAATAGACCAGAGTGGAAGAAAAGAACCAAACCTTGTAGACACGTATGTGGAAGAAATTTAGGTATCTAGGGAGCAGGCAAGTGCATGAGCAATCAATCCATTGCAACAAAAACATAAATAGGGGAGCCAACTGATTGTAAACCAATTTCATCTGAAACCGGGCACCGCCTTTGCCTCTCGGAATTGCAGCAGCTCTGCACACAATCCAGTCAGATTCAGAACCGGTAACATGTCAAAATTTTCAAACTTTACAATTCTATCTGATAACTCAGCCATGATCAAGTCAAAACCCAAAAATAAATAAACAACTGTGCACCCCAGAAAAATCCAAATCAAAATCAGAATTAATAATGTCAAAAGTTGCAAACTTTACATTTCAATCTGATAAGCAACCATGATCAAGTCAAAACCAAAAAATAAAAAATAAATAAATAAACAACTTTGCTCCCCGAAAAATCCCAAATTGGAAAAACTGACAAAGGGTTTTGCTTTTCTTGCCTAAATTGATACAGACAATCATGGGTTTTGTTTTTTCTTGCCTAAATAGAAGAATTATGATGTGGGTTGTGATGATCAGATGGCCTAAATATAGATATTTGCAATTAAACATAAAAGTAAAACTACCCACTTGGGAAAAAAAGGATATCCACACCCACTGCAGAAAAAAGAGAGAAATTGAAACAAAAACAAAGAATTTCCAGAGAAACAAGGCAACTTACAGAGAATTTGCATGCTGTATATCTTCCTCTAAAGCACTCAAGGACTCCTGGTAAGAAGGCTGGTAATATATCATCTCCATCTCTCTCTCTCCTCTCTCTCCTCTCTCTAGCAAAGAAAAAATAGAACAAGGATCAAAAAACTCCTCTCTCTCTCTCTCTCTCTCTCTCTCTCTCTCAGAGACTATCAAGTAGAAAGACAACCCACAAAGTTCACTTTTTTTTTTTGTTGGGTTTTTCCTATTTTATGCAGAGAGATTAATACCCAGCAAGCACCAACGACAAAGAAACAAACAAAAAGCAGATAGAGAGATAGAGGGCCGCAGAGGTTTGCTTCCCAAAGGCTATTTCCTCTTTATCCTTTTCTCAATGGGGGGCGGCTCTGCTGAGAACGACTGTTTTCGGAGTTTGCCTTGTTTATACGGTCTGATATGGAATACGTATTCAGGAAAAAATGCGTCCTTTGCACCTCATTTAATGTGCTCTTCTTATCATAATCTTTTGCTTTATATATTATTATATTTGCTTCTCCTTTTAATTTTGCCAAGGTGCCTTTTCTAACCTTCTCTCTAATTTTTTTTAATAAAATAAATTGTATGAAGACCATATTTTTATGACCATATTTAATTATATTCGTAATAATTTAAATAAGAAATTCAACTACCAAAGCCACATCATATGATTCTAATGGGTATTTTCTCTAACACTATCGTTTAATGAAACATTATTTTGTGTTACTATTTTATAAGGTTTTGGAATAATATTTTAAAAATGAATCTTGCTATACAAGCAATATAAGGGTGAGAGGTTCAAATACATGACCTTGATTTAATGGAAATACTCTTTAACTACCTAAGTTATAAAGTTCCTTCTTGTAGAGTACTTTTGATGTTTCAATTGATAAGAGATTCTCTCCGGACCCTTTCACCTAATCCATCAAGGCCACAAATTCGGACTCTTGAAATTTGATTAAATGGTTGAAATTATTATAACTTTTTATGGGCCTCCTGTTTTTAGCCGTTAGATCAAATTTCAAGGGTCCGAATTTGTAGACTTGTAGCATTAGGTGGAAGGGATATGGAGAGGATCCCTTTCCTTTTTTCTTGGACAAACAATAGAATATTACAAAATACGTCACAATGAGCAACATTTTAGTATCCAACTCAATTTAATTACATTTTTTGCAAGAAAAATTAGTATAAATATACGAGTTTTTTTTAAGTATTTTTCAAAAGATTGAAAGCATTTTTTATTAAAAAAAAGTTTTGGAATAAATCCATAATAATACAAGTGAATTTTGAAAAAACAATCGAAGTGTTTTTTGCAAGAAACTCATAACTGGTGCTTCTTGCAGGGAGTACTTCAAGTGCTTTTAGAAGCCAACATTTTTTTTTCCAAAAGTGCTTTTAATCATTTTAAAAACACTTTCAAACGAGTCATATATCAATTTGCATATGTATGACTCAACATGACATCCATTCCAATTAAATAGACGATGGGCATTAAGTGCTGCTAAACTAACAAATCATATCCACTTTGAGCCTTATGTTTAAGTTTAACTAGATTGACAAGAATAATGTAGTTTCCTTCCCTTATTTAGTTCGAACTCTTTTCGAAATTTTAGAAAAATTTCAGTACAGAAATATTTGTATGCAGATTTATGTGTGTGTTATATGGTAGGTTTTTATTTGTGTGTATGAGAATGGTTCATCTCATCTGCAATCATCTGATGCCAGTAGATCAAAGGGTCCACATTTGGAGGCTTATCCATGGACTGAAATATATCAGGTGGAGAAACCCATACGGAAAAGCAATATAAAATTTTGCATTATTAAAGTATTATTGTGAATATATATAAATAAATCCCTTAAAACTTGGTCAATTAACCTCCAGAATTAGGGTCCACTATCCATCATTAGAAAACTAAAAAGAAAGGGGGTCGAATCATATTTTATTCTTGTGGGGTTTTTATACTTAAATTATTATTGTTGGTTTGTCGTTTTATATTATAGTGCAATTGTTATTTGTAAGGGAAATGTTTTATATTCGGATACAATGAGTTTAGTACAATGTACTGATATTCTTCGTTATTTGTGAATTATGTGTGAATATCTTAAATTTAAATACATTAAATTTGGTCCTAAACTGTATGACATAGTCATTGTGTAGTTTAGTTTAAGTCTTCACACCAAACATAATACATATATTATAATAAAATAATTGCATTGGTTTTCCCCTGTTGTAATATATTCATTTTAAACAAATTATATGGCATATGGGTTTAATGATCCATGACTCTTTCTTTCTCATTTTTGCTAAGTGAAACCCTTTTGTCTAACAGAAACAAAAAGACAAAAAAGAAAGGAAAAAGAAAGAAAAGAAGTTGTGGAAAATCCAAGTGGAATATCTCTTTAGGGGGAAATATTTTTTAGTGTGTTGGAATACAATTCGATACATCACGTATTAGAATATAATTAATTTGATACTAAAAAAAACCATTCATATTATAATACTTAATGAAGTCATGTTTTCCAAACAAAATTTTCTTCTTTAAAAGGACATTTGGGGGCCCAAGTGGTGACAACACCGAGTGTGAATCACGTAGCTAGCCAACATAATTTGGGTAGGATCTAGCCAAATAACCCACGCAGTTTTTGACGGATATATGGGCATCGTACGTTTTTCATATTTGCTTTTTTGAATAAGTGCATGTCGTTTTTCACACGAGTTACGTTTTAGCATCTTTTGCACGCACCATGGACGGCTATAGACCCTCCATACCTTGTAACACTCACTTCACTTGCATCAACAATTTGTTAATATAAATTGTTCAAGAGAAATATCAGTTCAATAGGGTGCTAGGGGTCGTCGTGCATGTAGAGCAAACAAGTAAAAAATTTATCATGTCAGCACAAATGAAGAAGGATATTAACCATGAAGCATAGGATTTGGGGAGATAGTTTGTGGCCAAGGAAGGTGCCCACTTTTGCTACTTAAAGTTTTTGTCTAAGTTGTTGATGTGCATATGACTCACTTGTATCAAAGGTTAACAGCTGTCTATGAGGTTGTGATTACCAGTGGTAGCATTGTTCTTCCTGCACTTAAGAGAAAGCATTCTCCCGACACTATTCTTTTACTAATTGTTGAAATTATAAATGTACTACTGCATAAGAGCATTTTATAAAGACTAGACAAAAGGCGACTTCCCTATTATTTTGTTTTAAAACAACTTTTAAATAAATTAACATGTTTTAATGTTCTCTTAAATATGCGTAGTTTGGCACCAAAACATAACATACGAACCATCTAGTAAAACAATTGATAGACAAGTTAATTGATGGTAGCAATACCCTTCTACACATAATAATAGTGCTTAATAAAACAATTTTCTTAGCTGAGGTTGACAGGTTAATATACTTTTCACTGTGTGCAATTTGGCACCAGAGGGACGTCCACCCACTTCATAAACATCACCGACATGTACGGCAACATAACATATTAAACAGTCTTTGACATATACGGTAACATAACATGTCAAATAGTATATATATATATACATAGCGTAAGAGCAAAAAAAGTAGAAATAATCTTAGTGTTAAAAGTGGTGAAATGTCAAAACGAAGAGGATTCACATCATCAGCTCATCTGGCAGATGGGACTAGGCAATCCTTGGACAAGTCAGGGCTCTCAATTTCAAGAAAGCTTGTTAGCAAAGTTTTCCTGGAGGATTGTGCTTTTGAAGTGCTACTGCTGGGTGATATTTTCCGGTTGGATTCACTGCCCTTTTCAATCTTCATAGCATCTTGAACGGCCACAATTATTTCCTGCATTCTTGGCCTCGAAACTCCATGTTGCTCAACACACTGGAGTGCAACTTCAGCAATTCTCCAAATCGACTCAATTTTCACACTTCCTACTAGGACAGGATCCATGATGCTTTCCACATCCCCTTTACGAATCAACGATCTTGCCTGGAAAAACAACAATTTTTTAGTGATCATATGTTGCGTATAATGTAAAAATTCTACTACGTTCCGGTGTATGATATGCACTGAATGAATAACGCGTTGGATCTGGAGCTAAACATCCAACTATCAGGAATCAACCGGCTATAGATGTCGATGTATAGTGTACACCGGAATATATAAGAAAATCTCGTGAGTAACAACTAATTCTAGAGTGCAAGAAGATTAGCATTGAATTTTCATTCGGGGAAAAATTAGCAAAGCCTCTGAATTTATAAATCTGCTTCCAATTTGTCTCCTCGACTTTCGATTTGGTTATGAGCTTCCTAATTTCCAAACGCACCATTTTGCCCCCAAGTGTCAAATTTATCACATTTTCCGTTATTTTCCCCCAATTGAATTGACGAAAATAGCCCTCAAATGGCCGGAAAAATTGACAGTTTGAGAGTATTGGCACCTTTTTATAGATTATGGAAGCTCAAAACCAAATTGGAAGTCAAGGAGAGCAAACCGGAAGAAGGTACTAAGTTCAGGAGGTACTGCTAAAACTTTCCCTATACATTTGTCAGACAAGTTGTTGAAGTGAATTAGAAAGCATACCCAGTGAACAATGTTCAACTCAGAACCAAAGTCTTCTTCTGAAACAACCTTTCTTCCTGAAATCAGTTCCAAAAGAACAACCCCAAAACTGTACACATCACTTTTCTCGGTTAATTGCTGACTAGCATAATACCTGCATTGGAGGATTAACATGGCTGATTAAGTGCATACAGGAGAGAAATGAGAACAGGATTAATTTTTCGTATAGGATTCATGGGGCTTACTCGGGATCAAGGTAGCCTACTGTTCCACGAGCCACGCTAGATATGTGCGTTAAATCCTCTTCCGCTTGCCTAGACAATCCAAAATCTGATACTTTTGCTCTCATGTTTATGTCTAAGAGAATGTTGCTTGTTTTCACGTCCCGGTGGATGATACTAGGGTTGCATCCAGTGTGCAAGTACTCGAGACCTATACATGCGTAGATTCGTGTCAATAGCATGAACTTGAGAAATGAAGTATGCATAAATTAGTATAAGAAGTTCCATCTTATACCTCTAGCTGCATCTTCTGCTATGCGAAGGCGCATTTGCCAGTCTAAGCGCTTCTGAGTGGTAGAACCTGTTGTCAAAAAATTATGTCATGGATTTCCATCAAACTGTTTCGGTTAAAACTATGAACAGAAATTTAAAGAACAAGTTTTTTATGAGAGAGCGGACCATGTATGTGATCGCGTAAGGTGCCATTGTGCATATACTCGTAAACCAGAATGCATTGATGTTCTTCCTCACAGTATCCAATTAGAGGAACCAAGTTTCGATGATGAATTCGTGACAAGAGTGCTACCTCAGTTGCAAATTGCTTATTCATGTGGGTAGATGAATCCGCCA